TTTGCTTTAAAACTTTTATCAAATTAGTAAAATATCATGCAAGTGTGCATGGTTAACAAGTAATATAATAGTGAGTAAGTTATCATCTCCATAAGGAATTATATCTAAATTCTTGCTAATTACTAAAATTAGGCAATCTAATCTTATCTAAGGAAATCTAGTATGGAAATTAATTGAAAATGAAAAAAACTATTAAAGTAGCAAGGCTAAATTAGTGAACTAAGTTAAAAAAAAATGCAAGTAAATTGAGTTGGAAAACACTAGGGAAGTACTTAGGATTATGGTTTCAATTAATGCTTCATTTGGACTTAAGATTGACTAATTATCTACTTTTATGGAAAACTAATGCTAGCCTAGGATCCTTAAGCATGTATGATTCTCCATCTAGCTATTGTACTATGGCATAACTTAATTTAATTCTCTATATGTCTATAGCTAATTAATTAAGCTAAATTCCTTAAGTATAAATCCTATAAATTGACTGTATATGATTAATAGGTGTATGTCTACCCTATCAGCAAATCATCCAACTAATTCCTGCTTGCAATGATCATATACTACCCAAACTATGGTCTTTTTAGACTAACTTTGTCAAGTATTATTTAAAAACCTATACACATCCTATTGGTGATCAGTCAATAAAATGAGAAATAAGTACAAAATTGAATAAACACTAAATATTTTATAAAAATAAGTAATAGTCAATCAAGCAATTAAACTATATAGTAATATCCACCATAATCCTAGAAAGAAAAGTTTAGCTTAACATTTCAACAACCCATAACAAATTTAAGCAAAACTAAGCATTTATACTAGGAGTTTTAAAGAGAGAAAAATAAAGCTAGTGAGAGAAAACTCTTTTGGTATAGCTTTTTCAAGCTTTTTCCTTTTCTTTTCTCTTTGTGGAAAGCTCCCTTTTGCCTCTGAAGTTGCTCCTCCAAATGCTCCCCTTTAGCCCTAAAAAATGATTGTATTTATACCCCTTTGATGGTTATTTGATATAAAATCGAATGGCAAAAAATGTGTAGAATTATGTGTCGGCATCTAGGTGCCTCAAGGTTGGCACCTAGACACCCAAGGTTTTGTTTTATGGCTTGTTTTAACATGCTGGATAGTGCATTTAGCACCTAGGTGCCGAAGCTTATGTAAAAATTGACTATAGTATAGTACAGTTAGTCAACTTCCTCCACATTTTTCACCATGATCCCTTTCGAACTAAGTGATGTGCTAAACATCAAATTTGTAGCTCTTCCTCTTAACTTTTCGTTAGTTCAAGAATCATGCCGATTAGAGTTCTGTAGCTAGAGTTAGGCTAAAATATTGCAGTAAGGCCTTTATTAAGCTACTTGCACCATCCTTTGCCATTTAAGTTCTAAGTACTTGCACATCCTTCAATATTAAAAAATCAATTAATTAGAAACAGAAATGAGGAATTTTAACAAGAAATTGATTAACATAGCATAAATGATAAATGCCATTATATAAATTAAATTACTACTACTAAGCATAAAATTATCAATAGATTACTTAAAACTAAAGGACTTAACTCAATTTTAGATTCCAAAAGTGCACAAGATAACTCTATATAATAGAGTTATCAGTTAGCAATAACATATTCTTTGTAAACACATTTCAAAAAACCTAAGGCATAATAAAAGCAAATTTGTTCTCTAACTTTGTAAACTACATTTAGTAAACATTAAGAATAATCAAACAAAATTCGTTGTTTTGGGCAAAAGAGTCAAAACCAAATATACACTCAAAATTAAAGTATTAACTGCTAGACTATAACCCTAGATTGGAACATTACCACCAAACACAAAAGAGAATTCTCAAAAGACAACAACAGAAATGTAGAACAATGATATTCGAAAGCTAACCCACACCAACACAATTCAAAATGCACCCACAAAAAACCCTACAAGAAAAGGCAGAAAGAACAAACAATTGAGTCAAGAAAGCAAGATGTACTGAAAGGCTAAAACAATGGAATAAAAAAGCAAGATAAAATGAAAATAAAAATCAATGCAAGAGATTTCAGAAAAAGAAAAAAATACCTTATCGGCTCGATACCATATATGCAAACAATGGGTAAAAGACTTGGGAAAGATAGTTCTACATCGAACGGTAAAATAAAATAAGAAAACTCGTTTCAGCCACACACGTAGCCGATTGTGCAATCAAAGACAATCGAAAGCTCTTTTCGATGAGCTTAAACATTAATAGGCATGTTGAAAGGATAGAATGAAACTAATAAATTCATTCAAAAAATCGATGAGTTCAACAATGAAAACATCTTCTCTCCCTAAAACTAACGAAAACGTGCATGATCCTTTATATTTCTCTTTTCATGAACCACTCATTTGTCCTTAGACCTGTCAATATGGGCTAGCCGAGTCCATCCTAGCCACAACCCTTATGGGCTGAAAAAATATGGGTTAAGCCGGGCCAGCCCATTTTTTATATGGGTTATTAAATCTTCAACCCAGCCCACCTTTACTAGCCCATGGGTTGGGCTAGGCTAGCCCATTTTTTTCAAAAAAAATTTATTTTTACTCTTTATCAATAAAACTATGCCATGATTTAGTCCATAAATTAAATAATAAAAACATGTTACAAACAAATAAAATACACCATATATAAATAAGCAAATATATTACACCAAACATAAATAAAATTTCAATCTTTAACACAATTACACAAACTACAATCCCATCAACATAACTACATAAATACATAATCAAATATTTATAAACTTCAAGACTAATTTATGTTCTTCTCAATTTTCATCCTCAATCAAAACATTTGAGTCTTCTTTGGACAGCAATGATGTCTCCAAGTCCTCATCATTATCATCTAATATTCATTGCCATAAAAAAAAAGATATAATGAGTTTGAATTTTAACTAAAATTATTAATTTAATAAGTAAAGATTAAAGACATTGAAATATATAAAATGAACAATACCATCAGTAGCTAAAGAAAAGCCATGCAACCAATTTTTCATGCAGACAAGCATTTAAATATTTTCATGACGGAGGGAACTTCTAAACTTGGTGAGAACATGACCACCGATACTAAAAGTAGACTCTGATACTACCGTAGCAATCAGAATGCTCAATACATCTCGTGCCATAACAGAAAGATCAGGAAAGCGCTTAGCATTGTCCTTCCAATAATTAAGTACATCCAAGTCTTCAAACACTTCATAATCAAGCTTTGCCTCATCTAAATAAACATCTAACTCAGACTTTCCAGCAATAGAAATTATTTCATTTTGAAACATTTTGAACTCCTACAATTTTTAAATACATAGGCAAAAAAAAAAATATCAAAACATAAATAAACTAACATAAATTCTTCATGTAATAAGAATAAGCAAAGATACAAAACTTACTCTAAAGATCTTTGATCCCTTGGGTTTAGTTTCCCCTCCGACTTAGGCAAATTACTCATTGAGTGAGAAGATGTACTTGATGCACAAGTGTTGCTTGCATATTGTTCAAAGAGCTCGTACAAC